GAAAAATTGGTGGAACGTGCAAGCCTACCAGATGCCTTCAATGCAGCAGCCTGTGTCGTCTGGAGCCCTACAGTACTCAACATTGTACACACAAGATTGAGCCCCTTCAGTTGTTCTTAATGGTTGCTCCCCTACATTACATTACCTTCCAAGCACAGTCTAGTTTTCTTCCTCATGACCTGGCTATCTAAAGAGTTCCCTCAGAAGTGGTTGGTATTTCTGTTTGTATCAGCCAGTCATTATTCTTTTTGTCTGTCTGATCCTCAGAGCAAACATGCAAGGTGCAACGCAGAGGGGCAGAGTTGTCCTCAGTCTCTTCTTAATGCTGCTGCAATTTGGCCTTAAACTTTGGTGACACTAAAGTGTGGAGCTGTGGATTTTGATCATAGCCAATTATCATTTGCTCTGCTTTGTCTCTTCAGTTTATGTGCAGAGGAAGAAAATGAACTTCGGCCAGATTCACTAGATGAAAACTATTTGTTTCCTTCCTGTCATCCTGATGAGGCTAAGCCACAGGTATATGGAAGCAGTGGGACCTTCCCATCACAGAAGCCTGAAGACCACTCTGCTCTGGACGGGTCCAGTGAGTACTTACACCACACTTCAGATAAGTGTAGCTTCTCTCTCAAGGGCTGTCTCTACTCAGCCCTTCTGTCTCAAGAGCGAGTGGTGTGTGTACGAGGCCCAGGAGGCCTGTTTTGGTTCAGAATCTGTGCAAAGCGAGGCCTGTCTAAGGATCCTCTGTACCTTCTGCATATCTCAGAATCCTGAGTTTGTTGCACACTGTGCAGGTCTGCAGGTTGGTGAGTGTGGACAGCAGGAACCTGAGATCTCATTGACACCCCTCCTACCTGCCTAGAGCTGCTTCAGAGACCAGGTTACAGGGGCCATTTCGTAGGTTCTGTAATGATCCTGGGAATTGACTTCATCTCTATGTCCTCCAGTCTTTCCTATATATCCACACCCATTAGCCCATTGAAATAGTGATTTTTTAGGTCTATTTCATTTTCTGACTTCTACTTGACACTTTGTGCCTCCTCAGAGCTTGCTTTGCTTTGAAATGAAGTGCCCTAGGTTTTGAGTTT